CTCTCTTTCCTCCCTCTCTTTCTCCCTCTCTCTATACCCCTCTTCTCATTATGTTCCCTTCCTCCCTCTTCTCCCCTTTCTCCCTGCCTCTCTCTTTTCTGTCCTCCGCCCTCCTCTCTATTATTTTTGTCCAAATATAAGGTCTCCCCGCCCCTGCAACCACCCCGCCACCTTTCCTCTCCACGCCCATGCAATCAGTGTTCTCGAAAGACGAGTCAGTTTGAGCGGGAAGTTTGCACGGTAAACATCCAAGGCTTAGAACTTTTTGAGACATGTTGAAATAGTTTTTGCGACCTTTTCCTTCACCAACTTGTATCGTCGACAGTTTAATTCTTCGCTATTTATCCCTCTGTCTGTCTTAAGAAGATCTCTTCTTGCTCTTCCTTATACTTCTGCTTATAATACGCACAACCCTAGTTTATCTGTTGGGTACACTGTTAGCTTATGGTATCATGATGGGTTGTGGTGCGTATGATGTTGGTTCGAATCTCTTAAGGTCGGGAACTTGAATTTGGATTATTTGGGGAATCTTTTATGGGTTTCTTTTTCGCCTACTTGGCTCAATATCTTGTTGGAGATGGAAATCAAATTCGGAGGTCCTCAGGCTGACGGTTGGAACGTTAGATTGCTCTCAGCCCAGGTTGGCGCTGAAATGCAGGGTCGAAGCCCATCTCCTAAATTATCCAAATAGTGTCAATGCAGGACGTGAAGACACAGGCATTAAAGAAGGGATCTCATCAGAGCACCTCGTTAGCTCAGGTGCTGAGCAACGATGCCAATGACCCTGGTTCGAATCCTACATTGGAGGCTCTATAACTTGGGTTATCTGAGAAGTTTTTTTATGACTTTCACTCTCCACCCACTTGACTCGGTCCTACCGAAGATAGATGTTAAATTGGACGTCCCATCCCTTAAAATTATAGCCTTACATTGTTTAAAGCGGCATCAAATTAAATCCTTATCAGCCTACAGAGGGACACAAATGAGATCTCTGTCTTCAGGAAAAAAAGTTCTTTAAATTATGCCTTTATAAGGCACATTGATCCCTTTTCAGTCTTCTCCTCCTCCTCCTCCTCCTCCTCCTCCTCCTCCT